CGGATTTCTTGCGATGGACTACGCTGCAAAGTCTTGGATGGTTGGTTGCTAAAAGACATATACTAAGTAAAGACCGGTGTCAGACAAGGTTGCTTACCCTCGCGTTTCCTCTACTCCTGGTGGTCGACTGGATTATGAAGACCTACATATCTGAGGGGAAGTACGCAATTCAATGGACAGTTCGAAATCAATTAGACGATTTGGTCTTCGCAGATGACCTAATCCTCCTCTTCCATACACACGAGCTAGTGTAGTAGCAGCAGCAGCCTCTGCATCAGTAGGCCTCAGTATACATAAGGGAAGAAGTAAGGTCCTCAAATACAACATGGAGAATACCAACCCAATCACATTTGATGGAGAAACTCTGGAAGATGTGGAATCTTTCACGTACCTGGGAAGCATCATTGATGAACAAGCAGGATTCGATGCAGACGTGAAGGCAAGGACTGGCAAAACAAGGACAGCATTCCTACAGCTGAAGAACATATGGAACTCAAAACAACTGTCAACCAATATCAAAGTCAGAATCCTCAATACGAACGTCAAGACAGTTCTGCTGTACGGAGCTGGAACTTGTAGAACTACCACAAACATCATCAAAAATGTACAAGTATTTATAAACAATTGTTTACGCAAGACACTCAATGTGCGTTGGTTGGATACCAACCTGAATTTTACTGGATGGCCAAAAGGAATTATTGGAAGTTTCCTCAAAGCACAGCACAATGATGTAAAAGTTAAAAGTGCATTTCGGGGCCAACTAACTAGTCATGAAGTTAATGTTCATCCAGAAGAGGCCTGGGATCACATGCATGCATCTGGGGATACATTAGTAACATCTTTCAGTAAATTAAAACAGATGGTTAGAAATGACGTGTAGATTTTAGTAGTATTTGCCGAATTTGAAGGTGCTTGCAAATCCATTCCATCTAATTCTAAACACGACAGAAGAAAAGACAACTTAATCGTAGACTGACAAAAGGCCTAAGAAATGATTGTGATCACCGAAATTGAAAGAGATGGGAAAGTTATCAGTGGTAAAAACACTAGACATCTATTCAGACTTATTGAAGAATCAGGTACAGAAAAGTCTTCTGTTAGTGAAACTATCTCCGAAAAGATGGAACTATGATTCACTCAGCTAAAGCGAATGATAGGTGAGGAAAATGAATAGGATATTGCTGTGGTATTTGCATGAACTAATGACTATCTTCTACTTGATTCTCTTCAAATATAATACTTTTGTTTGTGCCAACCTATTTTCACTGGCTTTAAATTTCACTATTGCGGGAATTTTTAGTTAGCACAATAATCCAAAAACTTCCGATTTTCATAATTTTCCAGAACAAAGTGCCATGGAGAAAGCTAGTGGGCGGCCTATGCTCCTCCTTAAGGGGCAACAGGAGTAAGTAATTGAGTTAGTGTTTCAAGAACTTTATAATCGACTTGTTTTGATCAGTGCACAGCAAGACGCACCCAGTGGTTATCTGGTGCAGATGCTTAACCGAACGCTCTGATTTAAGCGTTCCCAGCAAAATTAGTGAGGTCAGTATCGTTGTCAAAGTCTTACTGTTGTGGATGCGGAGGAATAGACCAATAATTATCATGTTAAGTCCAATGGTGTCCTTGGACTTTAAATGGACATTTCCTATTGGTCGGTATCTGTTCACTTGTTGAATATTGTACAAAATGTTGTTTTCTATTTTATGGTACGATGTGGTATGCTTGATTGGTATATAAACAAAGTATGTTTGAAATATAATGATTCGTATATCAGAGGTTGGGACTTGTGTTCTGGACTCAACTAACTGGGCTAGACAGGGAAGCGAGACCAATAGAGACTCTAGGCCGTCCGTACGTGTTTACGTGTCACTGTAATCGATCGATAAGTACGCTGCTCTCTAATTTTCCAGTCAAGGACACAACAATTAGCACAGGGTAAAAATCGACCCAACTTAAAGTCATAACACTTACAGAACAATTCATTTTAGGGATTTATTTCCCTTTACAGGTTCGTATTCTTTGGAACGGTTCTATTAGCTGTGTGAAGGAAACAAACACTGGAACAGTTTGTATATTGCGTAACTATTGCCAGCTCTTTATATGAGGTCTGGTTCATTCGTATCTCCCCTTTCCCAGCTAACGCTAAGATTAGGCAGCATAGGAAACACGTTACAACGGATACTCAATCTTATCACGTATATTGTGTCATACATTGTAATTAGTTTTTGTTATTAATAGCGTTTCTTACAGAAGGCTTTGTACTGTCCGGTACTATGTCAAGACCATATAGGTTGTCGCGGTATCTGAACAAACTAATTTATTCATTGTTCTCAAGCCACATTTTGAACTTATTGAATATTCGTTTATTAACCCTTATTGTTTTTATATGATCGTATGTGTTATTTATTTGACCATATCAACAATGGTACAGAGTCAACAAATACACATGCCCCACACAATAACCATGAGGCCAGTAGTAGTCATCACTGATTTGTGTGAGGGCTGTGATATTGTCGGGGCGCCCGAACCTCGACCTTTTGACCTGAAGGTATAATCCACAAGGCAGTGGAACAACATTAGGAGATGCAGTCCCAAGGTAGCCGGTGACCAACAATAGGTTTGTACGCCATTTATTCACTCAGGATCCTGGAACCCATATGCACCATTGGTCAATTGCTTACTCTTCATTACGAGCCTGTAACTGATTTTCGGTCTGACTATAAATATTAAGTTATATTTGGTCCAATTGAATTGGCTCACACGCCTTCTCCACTAATCGTCATTTCGCTTCGCTCTTTTCTTCGTTTCTCTGGATCAACGATTGTATGAAATACACGTATTCGAAATCTGTTATTGTATTTGACTTATTTAATTGTTATTCACTAACGGAAGTCAAGTCGATAATTACATACGAGGACTGACGACATGTGTGTCTCGATAGCAATTATTCATACAATCCAAATGGAGTCAGATATATGGCCACTAAAAAGCATTCTATCATGATATTGAAATCATAATAGTTGGTGCTAAATCGAACGTTTCTCCGCTACCGGGTAACAGAGAAATGTGGTAAAAAGAAGTGGAGCAAGCCTCGTGCGGATTAAATATACGAGATGATATACAAAACCAGTTTGTAAAGACGTCTGTACCCACGTAATTATCTTTTCGATGGTACCTCATTTCAAGACACCCTGTAAGCAAACAACGCTCAGAAAGCATTGAGTGATTCATTTTATAGGAGTCATCAAGTGCTTTCGACCACCTAACACCTATATATAGAAGTGGGTTGACCAAAATCACACTGCCATAACAACTGCATCTCATTATTACTTTATCACTGACTTTGCAACACTCACAACTTTTCCAATTGCGCGATTTGTTACCTTAAACCGTCGGTTGTTATTGGTTACACAATTACTTTCCCCATTATTATTTCCTCAAGTCTCACTTCACTAATGTACTGTCAAAATTTTCATCTGCCAAAACATACTGATTTACATTTTATTTATTAACCTACTGATGTGATGCGCATTCCGAGTGTTGCTTTTAATCTAAACGTATTTATGCGATTATCAACTTTAACAGCAGTTGTATTTTTATTCTCTTTCAAACGGGTGACAAGTCATGAGTGGAAATCAGTTCAGTTCATTTTACAATTCATGTTGGCTTTAGGTTACATTTCCACTCAAATACTAGGCATTGGAATATATTTCAAAGTTCTTATCGAACTTCCGATCCATTTTTATCTTATTTCTCAAGAATTGTTCATCTTTCTTAATTTTCATACAATCAACTGTTAGAAAAATGTATTAGGCAAATCCATTCTAATGTACAGATTAAATAATGTCATTTAGCCCACGTTTCTCATGAAGTATGAACAGCTGGATAGATTCCTCATTTTGAAAGTTCAGGAACTTTTATTTTGGTTTACTAGCTTTCCTCAAGTTTAACAACAAATAATTCCTACACTTAGGCGATTATTAGGATTCACTGAGATATTTAGTGGAGCATAATTTCAAGTAGTCTACAGACAACTAATGAAGAACAGAATTAGCTATTAATAGCACACATCAAAATAATAAGCAAGACAAAACACACTAGGTTTGAAATAGCGTGTGCCCACCTTAAATTTAGCCCGTCGGATACTTCACAACCTGAATGTACTTCTGATCATCCGTTTATATTCTTTATGCAATAGTTAAGTTTATGATAGAAAAAAATAGTAACTTCTTGAAACTACTACGGAGCTTTTAGAAATATATATGTGGTAAGAAGTCTTTATTAGTACAAAACTTTATCTTGTACATTTTTCTTTTACACCCATTTGGTTATAATATAGTGCATACCATCAGTTGAGGTCACAGTACTTAACCTATGTTAAAAGCATGATGTATTGTACTTTTTACTGTTGTTTATCGGGATGATATTTACCGTTCAACTGAAAACTTATATATAACAGAAAATGAACTATCTTATCAATCATATGTGGACAACAAATTACAATTTATCACAATGTACAAGAAATAATCAGCACATACATACAATTTTTCATCATACACATAAAATCTCAACCTAATGTTTTTACACAAAAATCTAAATCGTGTTAAGATTTGAATCAAGTTGTAGTTTAAATTGATGATTCCTTTGAATTTTCCTCCATCTCCAACTACCATCAATCTTTCAGTGATAAAACTCTACTAGTAACCGTTAAATTACAAGTTAAGTATCTTGAAAAATATCACAGTTAAGTTAAGTGATCACACAAAGTTCTAGTTAAGGCATGTGCGCTTTAACTGAGAATTTTATGTATAAACTAAAGTACATTATAGAGAACAAATCACAGAGATTAAGAGACAATGTTCGAAAAAGCGAAACTAGAATAATTATCATACTATTATGTTAAAATATAACCAGTTTTAGAGCCAATTATTAAGGGACAGTGAAAAGGAATAGAAAAGTGTAAGAAAGGCAAACAAGAATACATATACAAAAGAAAATCACAACTGACCATTACTAACAATATGGGCCAATGATTTTGTTCGTTGACCTTCAGACTGGATAAGTGTTTTCCCAACTTCTTCAATTAAACAATCAGTTTCTGTTATATCAGTGCTTGAACCAACATTTCGTATCATAAGTGGACTTGGATCTGTGTTGATAACATCGAGAGGGCTCTTAACACCGTTACTATTAGCACTGACTGGGTAACTTTTAGCTGTTAAATTTGCATACTGTTCGGCTTGCTCCATTGTAATAGTCAATTTCGCTAATGTAGCTTTGTATCTAAGTACTTCATCAAACATACGACAACGTTTACGTAAAACGCTGAGTTCCGAGTCCCGGTTGAGTAGATCACGTTCTAAACGTTGGAGTTTTACATTTTGTTTAAATATTAATTCATTAAGATTGTTTACTTCTGTTTCACGTTTTACATGTACTTCCTAAAATTGAAGACAAAATGGTTAGAAATTCAAGTAACAACCATCAGATAAAGTATGCTTAATGCTACGGAAGGTTGCTGTTTAGGCACATATATAAGTGATAATTCAAGTTTAAAATACTGCTAAGTTTTAAATCAATATATTATTGCTCAAATGATTGCCAAGATTTTAGAAGTTTGGATTTCAATCAAGAGTAAAGATTCTCTTTTAAAGTGTTAAGTCACGTAGCTTTGAAATATTTTTCCAGATAAAATTGTTTCATAACCTTAGCACAACCGTCATGGAAGATGCAAAACTGAACTAAAATGAATCCCAACACGAATGACAGAGGGTAATACCCCCCCAGAGATAACAAGTTTAGATATTTCATAAGAAAAACCAACAATACCTTTAAAAACTACTAGATTTACTTAGGCTACTGACAAGCAAACTATGAAATATTTACGTGCATAGTGGCTAAAGATGATTAACCAATTAATATAAGTCTAAATAAATGCCATATTTCCCCACGAATCACTAACCCTTTGAAGTGGATTGTTGAAAAATAAGGGTTTATCACGCCATATAAAAACACTAATATCCAGCAAAACGATGACCAAATATGAACGAAGTCAAAGTAAGCCTAATTGTACACAACCTATTGTGCTGCAAAGCATATATTCCTATCGTAAATCATATTTATTAAATGACTGCATCATTGTTTTAGGGTGTGAATTACAACTCCACTGACTAAATCTTTAAATTACTAGTAATGTACGTTGTTTAGTGGTAGTCATTTAAGGCGTATAGTTTGATTCAAAATTCGAACTCCTACTATATAGCATTTCGATCACAAGTATCATCACTAGTTCAGCTGTGTTAAATAGGACTTCAAAAATAAATCGGTCAGTGAGAAGTAATCAATTTTATCTGGTTATTATTACTGATGCAGACACTATACTACCTGGAGAACTTTATTTGTTATTAGACTTCTGGTGCACATGGGCTCCAGTATCCTGCGGAAACAAATGGCGTATGAACCAATTGCTGGTTACTGGCTATCATGGGATTGGATCTCCTCACGATGCTCCACTGCCTTGTGGGTTAGATCATTAGGTCAAAGGCTCGGGGTGTGGCCCCCTCAGATAACCACCTGCTTCGGTTTGGGCACCCGGGCAGTATCACAGCCCACACACAATTAATGAACTGAACTGTCTATGATCATGGAAACTAATTCTCTTGCTTCGACGAACATTCAAATGATTTTATTATTATTATTATTATTATTATTATTATTATTATTATTATTATTATTATTATTTACTACGACATTATTCACCCTCCTTTATTCCCACTCTGTTTATACTTATTTTTTTCGACTTATACAGCAGCTCGTCTATGGTGGAAATTCGACACTATCTAAACGTTCCCGAGTCACTGTCCGGTTGAAAATTGTATGTTACCACCGAATACGAATACTGAACCAGTTTTTCTGAAACCACGTGCACCATTCAAACTGGCTGCCTTCAACGTTCGCACATTTATGCAGGTCGGACAACAGATAGGGCTAACTATGTCTTTAGAAAGTCTTAATATCGATGTTTGCTGTCTATCCGAGACCCGTATTCAAGACTCTGGTGAAGTACTACAAATTCGATCTCCATCTGTCGCTTCAAAAAGCTTGTTTTACATGCGCTTATCCGGGGACCCTGTAGCATCTTCGTATGATCTGGCTGACGTTGGTGTCGCACTAAGCGCTAGAGCTGAGGCAGCACTAGTCGATTGGATCCCCATTAACAGTCGGTTATGTGCTGTTAGATTAGAAAGTCCCATCAAAGTGAGGAGAAATCGGTGTGAGAAACGATGTCTTTTCGTCATCTCCACCTATGCCCCGACAGATTGCAGCCCGGATGCAATCAAGGATGAGTTTTACCACCAGTTATCTGTTCTTCTCCAGAAAGTGCGTTCGACAGACATTGTAGTACTAGCCGGAGAATTGAATGCTCAGGTCGGGCGTCTAGGCACAGAAGAGAATCATTTCGGTGGCCGATGGGGACTTGTTGGTCGTAGGACAGATAACGGGGACCGTCTACTGCAACTGTGCACAGACCACAACCTGTTTCTGGGTAGCACTAACTTTCGGCACAGTCATCTCCGATATGCCACCTGGCGTCCTCCCTCTGCATCTCAAGCCTGGACTCAGATTGATCACATCGCGATCAGCCACCACTGGCCAACAATCGTAGTGTTTCTTGACATCAGGGCTGCCTTCGATTCGTTGGATAGGACTGTTCTCTGGGATTGTCTATTGAAGAAGAGTGTGCCTGAGAAGTTTATTAACATCCTAAAGGCCCTAAATACAAACACCTCAGGTAGAGTGAGGGCATACAACCACCTCTCTCCATTGTTCCATTCGACCAGTGGGGTTAGACAGGGTTGCCCAATCTCATCATTCCTCTTCAACTTTGCCATCGACGACATTCTGGAAACAGCTCTGATGGATGTAAGAAATGGTGGTGTAGATCTGTTGCCTGGAGAAAGACTTCTCTACCTTGAGTATGCGGATGACATTGTCTTACTGTGCGATAATCCCCAAGGCATGCAATCCGCACTTAATCAGTCGGCAATCAGTGTCCGTAGGTATGGTATGTGCTTCGCACCTCCGAAGTGAAAAGTACTTCTACAAGACTGGCAGGATTCCAATCCTGTACTCACCCTCGATGGTGAGCAGATAGAAGTAGTCGAGTTCGTGTATCTAGGTAGCTGCGTAAGTGCTGGTGGTGGCGTGAGTGATGAAAGCCAGAGCGGCTTATGCCAATTTGGGCCATCTTTGGCGCCTTCGTGATGTCAGTCTGGCTGTAAAAGGTCGGATTTACAACGCGTCGGTGAGAGCAGTTTTGCTCTATGCTTGTGAAACCTGGCCTCTCCGAGTTGAGGACGTTAGACGACTCTCTGTGTTCGATCATCGTTGTCTCCGAAGGATTGCTAACATCCAGTGGCAACACCATGTTAGTAATGCAGAGGTTCGGCATCGTGTGTTCGGGCACAGAGATGATAATTCAATTGGTGTCACCATCTTGAAACACCGACTTCGATGGCTTGGACATGTTCTACGAATGTCGTCCCAGAGAATTCCACGTCGTGCATTATTTGCCGACTCTGGGACTGGTTGGCAGAAGCGGAGAGGTGGCCAGTATACGACATGGTGTCGTGGTATGAAAGAAAGCTGCAAAGGACTGGCTTGTGTTGGTCCTTCGCGACTCCCTGGTTGGGGTCCGAGAGATGGTGCTACACAGTGGCTAGAGACGTTATCAGATATGGCTCAGAATAGAAGCCAGTGGCGATCCTGCTGTGACCTTCTTTTACTTCATAAAAAAGTGGTTGTGTCTTCCTTAACTGAAAGATTTCTTCTGATTGTACCCTTCTGTTCCCCTACTATTGCTATTATTATTATTATTACACTACCTTACACCAATATTTCCGTTATTGTTTTTATTTTTTTTCTTACGTTCCTCACTTTTTTTCTTAAATTCTCATTGTTTTGTGTGGCGCATATATATTCCGCGCACTCCTGTACCAATATATATGTGTTCAAATAAAATAAAAAAGACTTCTGGTCGCTTTCATTTACAATGTTGGGTTAGTGGTTAGAACATTTGAAGTTTAACTAGTAAATCTAAAATATGAATTTTACCCCACTTAATTCAGTATGGATAGATTGGTAATAACAAGACTTCATAAGTTGATCCCAATCTGTACTCGACAAATGAGTCGTAGTATTTAATCCTTGTATTATTATCTACTACTGAATAACCGACTGATTTGACAAGACTCTACTGATTTGTGATGACCAAAAATGAGCATGAAATATTCACCTAGATATGTTATACTGAACCAATAATACCTGCATAACTATGTTGAAGTCTTCTTCCTTTTTGTTTAGCTCTTCCTCCTTAGTTTTGAGTTGTATTTCCAGTTCCTTAATCCTAGTTGTTAAAGCGTTGAGATGACGATTAGCTTCCTCAATGTGTGTTTTAGGCTGTGTACCATTGAACCACATCTAAAATAGAAGTATCTTTTAAAAAAGGCAGAAAATTATGGCATGCTGTACGCAATATATGCAAGCCCATTTTATGAAGCAGACGACAGTCAACTAGATGAATAATGGGATGTATATACAATTTTTAGTGAATAGGTGGAAGAGTTTGAAAAATTCAGCCGTCATAAAATAAATGAACGGGTTTTTAAATTGAAGTCCAGACCGCTAAGAGGGAACTAATTTGATGAAACGATCAGTTTACTATTATTTCTATTAGCATTAACTCACAAAAACTATGAATTTCATTGAAATCACGAACCGATCTAAGTTAGGTCATCGTTCAAATCTTGGAAGCACTGGATATTTGTTTTGTTCTGGTCTGGGACTTCCCAGAAGTGTTCACCCACGGACCCACATGTGGGAATCGAATCCAGGATCTTAGGTTTTGCGTGCAGACACATCTAACCGCTAGACTGCTGAGTCGACATCCAAAGGTGTCAATGTCCTGCTGGCAACTATGACTGACTTCGAAGCCAATACACACTGGATTCATATGTCAAGGAAACACAGCACAAGAGTTTCAAGCTCCCGTTTCTATGTTGAATAACAGATTTAATCTTTTATTAGCAAAACCCTAAGAAGGTGATAGTTGAATAACACAATAAACGACATATTAGGCCTGGACATTTTTACATGGGAGTAGTAATTCAGAAATTTTAGCTTACAGTCTTCGATAGTATGACAATATATAATTGATTATTTGGAAGCGTTTGATTTGTCCCTAGTGGAGGTCATTCTAGACGGCTGATGACATTAATGTGTTGTTTCAGACCACCTACATTCATTACATAGGCTAGAACTAACAAAGGGCTAAACACACCTATTCTCAACGGTTACACCTCATAGGACATTAAACGCACTAAGATGGTAAAATAAATTTAAGAATTAGATTAGATAATGCTCTAGAGATCAAGGACAGCGCGGGAGGTGGCATCAGATGTAAATCCAGCTAGTAACAAAGGGTAGGATACATAAATTGTATGGAGGAATAGGAGGGAAAAAAGTTGTGACTCTTTGGTTCTGTAAACTGGAGTGCTTTTATATTATTATATTAGACGCAGGGTATCAGGGAATGGTGGTAAATCAGTTGATGAGGTTGTGAATCTTCATCGACTGAGATGGTTGAGCCACGTGTTACGCATGCTTGAACACCGATTAACATAAAACGCAATGCTGACTGGTGTTGGGGATGGTTGGAAGAAAGTTAGGGGTGGCCAAACCAAAACGTGGCATCAGTTCTTGAAGTCACTAACTTCTAGTCTGAGCCATGTTGGTAGATGCAGACTACTTGGTTGGGGTCCGCGTGAGTATCGTAACCAATGGTTGGAGAATCTTGGTGACATGACTCAGAATCGTTCGCAGTGGCGTAGCTGTATACATTCTTTGTCTCTCCTTAAACTAAGAGATTAAAATCGCTTCATATCTTTATTTCTACGAACAAATTCTTTCTTCCTGTACTGTCTTTATTTGCAATCTTTCATTTATACATTACTACTGCTGGTTTAGGTACTAAGAATTCGGTGTTCATCTTGTTGTGCTAATGAGGCTTGACAACTTGAACCGATGCATATATGTGCCTGGTCCTACGTTGTAGCTGACTAACTGACTGATTGATATTCGGCTCAAAAAAGTTAGTGAACTAGTTTAATGATGAAAATCTTAGCTGGATTAGTTAACTAAGAGAAACCCAACGAACCTGTATTACATCTCAAAATCGATAAATCTGAGAAGCTATGTGTGAAACCGAGCATTAGATGTATCAAGTAGTTATAACTGATATATGAAGCTTCATTAGTTTACTCTATTTGAGTTATATTGTTCAGGACAGGGCCGATTAGAGAAAGCCAAGCAGTGACTAAGCAAAACGACGGAGTTAGTATACGTTAGGAAAACAGCGTAAAATATCCGCATAAAATTGCATAATCGAGACGAAAATGCTCGATATGCTTTGAAATAATTCTTGAATTGGAATAATTACAAATGCATATAAACAAAAACGACTCAGAAGGAAAAATTATCAGCAAAATGGATTCTTAGTGGAAATACTTATTTTGTGATTTCAAACTGGGGTTTTCGGAACGTTATCTCAAACGTCGCGGCCACGGCTCCCTCACCAGACCGTTTTAAGTCCATTTTACATAGTAACTAACAAGTTTATAAACGTCGCTCCAACAAATCCAATAAATTATAGTCACCGGATCCGTTTGTTTTACGCATACATTTTTTCAACCCTCATGCCTTGTTTTATCTACTCAATGAATCAATTTTAGCCTAATCCTTTTTACTTCTCTAAATTCCTTTCATCAACACGCTAAATTTCTTAATGGGATCAGCCTGAAGTCTAGAGATATGAAAGCTGCTGGTTTGAACATTGTAAGATAGAGAGAAATTAAATGCCCACCAGGCTTACAAGACTAGTATAGCAGCTTTTTGTTGTAAAAACGGCAGAAAACACGAATTAGATGAACGTAACATAAGAATGTAATGCACAAATACTTGAAGATAAAGCAAATGTTCTTGTGATTTGAAGCCATAGAAGCATCATGTTAAATACTCATGAAAGTAGGAACGATAAACTTTACTAATTTAAAGTAAAACTAAAACTTGAATGCATGTATCTACATATTCTGAAACAAACAAAATAGGCAATACTTCTTAACAGACGACTTCGAAAGTAGCGCAGTAACCAGAATCACCGCGTCATTAAATGGTTTATATGTTCATGCATAGAGTAGAAATAGCTTTAACTTTACGAACTTAAATGTCTTAATGCAGTGAATCGCTGTATTTCTGATACAGGAACCTGGATATATTTATTCAGTGACACGGAATGATGAGCAAATTAGGATATTGTTCTGAGTCCTTACTACACATCAAGGCATGAAATATAAGTTACTCTAGTTTAAATTGTCGTTTTCTGTACAATTCTGAGCGGATTAGTTCGCTTCATGGATTTTTAACTCAGAAGCACGTTCTGGGTTAAAAGAAAGTCCCATGTTGTCGGTTGTAGCGGTAATTAAATCCCCAAAAACAATAGTACTCTAAGTCTTCGACACTGGATGCTGACTTCGTTCGTCTTAATAGATTTACCGAGCAGAAAATGCTCTGTCATGCATCCGCACTAATTCAAAAGTGAGTAAGCCGTGCTCAACCTCTCCTGCAACCACTAACCAGCTTAGATTAGTCAATTTCGATATACCTATATTTTATCAAGTACATCTTCCAGCTTCTTCGCTTCTGATTTCACTAGGTTGGAACGTCTCGATAATAAAAAATTTTACCAGTTAAGGTGGTTTCAGACTTAAATACTTGTGGCACCTCTATGATCTTGTCACGACACTGTAAGAATGTTAATTTATATGTAACCAAGTACGTTGAATTATCTGGACTATATGTCAATGCTACGAGTTGCTTCATATAACATTGATAATACGAAATGGTCTTTCACGATGGTCCCCAAGAGTTCCTCACGACTTTCGGTCCGCTTAGTAGACGATTATCTCTTGAGGAGAAGCATAACTGCAACGGCAAATTCAAGTTGAATGTGGCTGAAATGTGAAGAGTGCGTTTGATGAACAAATCCCCTGTCAGCGACGTGGGAAACCTGAAGTTTAGCTCGCTAAACGTTTGCTCAAACACTTGATTCCGGTTTAGATCAATCAAACAATACCTTCTCTGGTAGTATCTTTATTCTCTCAATTTGTGCAGTAGTTGTTATTTCACTTTTGTCTTATCCCTGGCTCATTAGAACTTGATGAACTGTATAGGAAACGTTATCAGTGCTCAAAATAACTAACTCTCTAATCTCACGAGATCCAAATAGCTCGACAAGAAAATCTTATTTTCATCACCAACACCATATCTCGTGGTTATTGTCTAACAGAGAATACCATGTCGTGATATCCAGAGACTATGACCACTCCGACTGTTATATGGAACAAATATGATGGTAAAAATGAAATTTCATGATGAGACTAGAATAATACAGAGTTCATGGCGTGCAACTCGTGATTCCTTAGAGGTTATTCTTGATCTTAAAGATTTTTGAAGGACTGTTTGACGGTCAACCATATGTCGTCGAAAGTAGAATATAGTTATACATGATGGATGATTTTAATGCGTGTTTGTTTCACTTTTAAGGACTATGGCATCTAGTGAGGAATATCCTTCGCCATCAGGGAATCTACCACTTCAGTTGTCGGCTAAACGGATTTCCAAAGCTCGTAAATCCTGTTCCGGAGATCACCAAAATTGCAGTCCGGTTAGAAAAAGTCATATTGACGACTCGAACAGCATTATCGTCACTCCTTCCATTGATAGTCGAGAACCTGATCGTCTAAAATTCACTAACCCAGGTAGACAGATGAAAGAACTAGAAGTCGGTTGGTCCGAAGCAAATATGACACGAAGCGTTCGCAGACAAATGACCGTTAAATCTGGTTACAAATCATCAGAGTAAATTAATGTCTTATGATAGTCAAGTTCGATTGTAATTCTGAGCCACTAACAGTTTTATGTTTTTTAGCTTCAGGATGTGTTGTTGTATACACTTGATTGACATAAGCGTTTTATAAATTTAAAACAATTAGTCCCTTTGATAAATTTCGATAACGCAATGAGAAGACGTAGTTTATCAGAATTATGTGATACATTTGCGCAATACATTTCGAACAATCTGATCACACACATAAATTTTTTTAAACATTCTACACTTGTGTTTGTATGATTACCCCATAACAAGAATGAGGAAATTATATTATTCATTTGAAGACCATTTAAGTCATCCAATATCCTTCAATACCTGGATACTTCATTATTGGACGATTGTCTTCTGGTTATTGTACAACAATTTAAAATACAATATTTTTGGTTTTCTTTGTTCATGATGAATCAATTCATTGTTTTCGGATTATGCTCTTTGAAAATATCGCTTTGTAAACCCAAGTGTTTTGAATTTTGCA